GCGTGGAGATCATGCTATTGGCAGAGGAATCAATGAACTGCGGTGGGATCGGTGCAAGACTAGTAGCCGGCGGTGGTTAGGGAAACTGCGATCCCCTTCGCGTCTGAGAAAGGAAAGCCTAGAGTTAACCGTTGCAACTTCACCTTTGCCTGAACCAGGATAAGCACGATAGGATCCAACTGACGAAGGAATAGTTTTGACACAGAAAATGAAGAATTAAAGTTCGCTGAGATATAAAGTCGAAATCTTGGTCATAATTTGACCGAAGTCGGATCAAGTCAATGATAGCGGACAGTGAGGGTCCGCAGAAATTTCCAGCATATTATTCGCATACCACCTCATTTTCGACATCTTTTCGGCGCAACCAAGCACTCACGCCCGTCAACGCTTTCTAAAAAGACCCCTTTTTAAAATTAATGCAAGAATGGTGTTACCGGATTTGTCCTGATTGGAAGACGGACCACGTGTGATTTCGTTTTGCCCTGCAGTTCTTGTCTATGGTCCGCGCGGGTGGTTGAATGGTGACGAGTGTTCAATAATCAAGATATATTACGACCAAGACCGGGAAGTATCATAGAATAAGTACCCTCCAGAGAATATGAAATAAACGATGAGAATAAACAGTATGAGATTTGCAGGGTCCCGATTGGGAGCCTTGAATTTAGTCTCATTTTTATCAGGTTACCTGCCCAACCTGCTGCAACATATTAGATCTACCAAATCTGGTACAGTAATCTGACTGCCCGAGCAGAATTTTCTAAACAATCAAACTAAAGGCCATTAGATGACTACCAGGCTCACTTCGTCAATAGGTGGTTAGCATGGGCGCTTAGCATAATCAGTCTAACCAGAACGTGAAGAACACGGCGACCACGATAACAAATGCGAGACTTGTATACAGTCGGCGCTCAAACCATCTGAGCTACAAGGGCGCCAAATAGTTCAAAATTGGGTTAGACAGATTATTCGGCTCTGTCAAAAACCCCTATAAACGAGTCTTTGCATTATGCTTGCTTGCAGCACGTTCTGCATACGACATTTATGAGTTCTGAAAATGAGGGTTTCGCGCGCGGCAATTTGGGTTTCGAGTTCCCTATTAGCTGGTCCCCATGTTTACGTCGATCCCTTCTTGTAGAAGCAGCACCAGGTTTTAGATAGAGACAACGATGACTGGGGTGGTTATCTCTACCTTCCTAACTGTCGTCGGCTAGCCATACTCGACTGACCGTTCGCGCAAAGGGAGGAGCATATCCCGTAACCTCAATGGCGAACGCCACCCCCACGAAAGTACCACGTTTGACACTACTACTACGTGTCTCCGCTCCGGACTGTCATAGAGAGAACTATTTCAGTACGGTATTACTGGCTCTACTGCTTATGGCTGATTTTCGCCAATGCTTCGGTGTATGAGTATTCGATTCTGCTTCTGCTAAGGAATGTGTGGCGGCCAGCCATCATGACCGGTCTGGCGTCATTGTTCAAGACCTCACTGGCTCAAGGTCATTCACCCCTTGGCAGTGAGCCGTTCCAGACGCGCTGACCTGAGGTCACACGACCGACAGCTCGGGCATACCTGCGTCCGCACAGCCGCAGCTGCCCATGAGGCCACTTGAACGTGCCACTCCCTGCAACCAGCAAAACAAGCCACTGGGATACTACCCCTCGGCAAATGCAACACACGCCGATTGGAGACCACTTGAGCTTGTCCCACGTGCCTACAAAAGCGGCTGCCACCACTGTCCCAGTGACCCTCAGGCATGACTGGACGCAGTCAACACCTACCCTGGCTTCGCCGGTGGCCACTGCCGCCTGAGAGGACAACTCCGGGTTCTGTGCGCAAAAAACCCCTCATTCTGGTGCCTTCCGTCTTCTCTCCTTCGATCATGGCATTCGACCCGGTGGTTGTAGTGCTCAGAGCACTTGCTCCCACCGCTTGGTCACAACAAATGCACTTTTACCCTTGGGTGAATGAATACTCGATGGCAACAGAGTTTTGCCCCAGGTAAGGTGTTAACTCGTCCCGCAAATCCAGCGCACACATTTGAACTACAGTATCCCATTCTTAGAATGTTCGTTTTTGTTAAATTTTATCCAACCAGCGACGCTCAACTTACATGACACTCAGACTCCATCCAAAATCAGCGGAGGCTATACTAGGCATGCGCTCTTAGCAGGGCTACGCGAGCTCCAATATCCTACCCGAGGCCCGGCATTTTTTACCAATTATAAGCTTATCGGTGGCATTCCCCTTGAACTTTCTTCAGGCACCACGTTACACCAGGACGGACTGGAATTTGAATTTTATTTCATTGCGCACAGTTGTGGCTACTGCTTAGGACGCAATTCATTCCACCTCCTATTCTTATATTCATTTACAATTAAGCGTACTGGTGACTGTAATTCCAGCCATATCGACTGCTTAGCCGGCTGGGCGCACCATGTTCTGGTGTCATCGTGAGGCAGTATTCTGCCGCAATTACCACCACTCCATCCTAGGTTTAGCGTTTGTACTAATTATAATCATACCAGTGACGTTTGCCTAGTATACTCTTCAGGCACAGGGCAAAATCAAGGCAGACCTAAAATTCTTTGTACTATCATCACGCCATTTCGAGCCTCAATACCCCATTCCAGGCATGGAGTTCTCGCTAATTCTTATCGTCCCAGCGGCAATTCGCTGGCATGTTGTTCAGATACAGTACAGTAGCAAATAAAGGCGGTAAGGGTATGGTTTACGGCCGGGGTTACTTACCTCGGGGAGCAATTGTGTTAAAAAATAACTGGTGGTATTTATTTGTACGTGTCAGAGAAATAAATAAAAAGACCTCGCGGTGGCTGTTGTGTGAGTACAGTCAAGATGCTCCAAGGATCCCATCGGAGTAAAAATACGGCAATGAAATACCTTTTCGATAATGCCTTCAAAGTGGTATTAAATACATTTACTATTATCGTGAAACGATAAAAATATTGCCATCTTTTAATTTGTCACAATATGGAGGATCAAAGTGTGTGATAGCACAAGGTACTTCGATGTTCAGCCCTTTCGCTTAACAGAAGTGCTCCCAGGAGTTAGTAAAGCTAACCAAAAACCATACTCTTGCCAATAAGACCTCGCTCCATAATTTCACCTCGCCGATGTTGACTCCGAAATTCCATTTTAGACACGGTGCAAGTTTGTGTTTGCCAAAGCCTGGAATAAGAGCATAATTACATAAGAGTATTGACGGAAATGAAATATTAACGTCTACCTGCTCATTTAAGTAGTATTTAATGTTAAATGTATATCGCTAATATAACAGCTTGCCGGGTCAGGCATGTGTAGGTGTAGCGTCGCTGAAATACTCCCTAAAATCTCGTGCTTCGATTTTTCCGTATTTTGAAGTTCTTTTGGCTGTTGTCTACGCGTGTAATTGCCGTGCACGCCACGTCCGCAGTTTCTGTTGATCTGCTTACTGCCAAGATTTGACTCTCACTCACGCAAAAAGCAGCCTAAGTCTTTTTGGTAAAAATGCGAATTCTTAGATATTCACATGCTTTCCCTGGAAACTCTGAGCAATGTCTCTGCTTCCTTAATGTGGAATCCCGCTCTCAGACATACTGATTAGAAATAATTATCATATAACTTTATTAAAAGACTGTCGCCGTGGCCTCGGTGGCGCAATGGATAGCGCGTCTGGTTTCTACCCAGAAGGCTGTGGGTTCGAATCCCACCCGAGGTGCGATTTTGCGGTCGATGATCCGAAGCACTCACAACCGTCGGTAATTAATACCACGGGCGATTTTCCGTTCTTCCAACGGTGGTCCGTGAGGCAGCGGCCTGGCGACAGGGGAATGCTGCTACTGCATTAGCAGGATGCCACTGAGTAAAGTATTTCACCATAACTTACTTGCATTGACTTCATAAGACAGTGTAAGAGACGGGGCTTTTGCGTCCAAAGAAAAACCTTGTGAACTTTGATTGCAGGGATGTTCGTGCGGGGGGTTAGGGGTCCCGGAAGGTCGCATAACGATCTATATATAATTAATTCGTCACGCAGGCACAGCCACGTTACAGGTACCGGAACTGTCAAGCATGCTTGACAGCGAACTGAGGGTTGAATTGCCTCACTTGCAAGTGAGGCCATGGCAGGATTTCATCCCTAATAGCACGGTAAGCCGATTCTTAATTAGCGCCTCAGCACTCAGTCGTATCTGAAAATTGATTGGTTCCCAGCCCCCCAGCCATATGGCGTAGACCAGTCGACTTAAGTCGACTCACCCACTTGGGTGCGAATTTAAATTCGCACCCCTGCTAGCACCAGTTCCGGGACGGCCGTCTGGACCCGTCAAACTCACGTGGCACGAAGGGGCTATGTCCAATATGGGCGGGGCTATGCACGGGGCTATGACGGAGCTAGGGATTCAGTAGCCCCTTATAAGGGGCTACCGAATATATTGTCCCGTTCCCGAAAAAACGTGCATGGGTACACAATTCTCTCCGCGGTATTAACACCCCTTTTATCGGTCTTTCGCCTTACTAGATTCCCCATACAACAGGTCCTACTATTCTTCATGGGAACGCGGAAAATCAAAACCCCTTAGATTTCCTAAATGTAACCCACCTGCGTTTGCCACTGTAATTGCGCCGACAAATCATACGTACCCCCAGGTCTACACGAACAAAAATAATGGACAGCAAATATGTGCATGTGGTGGTTTATTGAAAAACACGTAAAATAAAAAAGGGGTAGGGGAGTATGTACAGAGAGCATACTGGGCACGGACTTCGTATTGTTCGATCAATTAATTGACCACCCTAGTAGCAATAGATATCGAGTCGATATACGTGAATAGCGATTTATCGAGATATCACGTAATTGGCCACCTCGCTCATGCAATCTGACATTTCATTGGTTGCCGTTCTTTAGTCGTCTATCGATTGCGCGCACACGCGGCCGCGCCATTATTTCGCGTGAGCGGCGTGGAACGCGTGAGTTGACAGTCCTTGCACTTACTTGCCATTACTGATTTATATCTCTTGTTTGCTACTCTTCCATGTTAACTCTGTTTAGGCAGGGATCCCGGAGAACACGAATAAGTCGTATTAAGAGGTATGGAAATGAGACTTTCCAGTAAGTGATGGAATATAACACCAGTATACCTTTTTAGGGGCCACAGGAGAACGCCGATGACTTTCGAATCCAAGTACTGGACAATAGCTTCCGAAAGCAATTGGTATGCTACCATATTTGTAACTCCCTCTTGCATTAGACGTACTACCTCACATGCCTTGGTGGGCACAATGTAGATGACTTCGTCAAACGAATGTTCAAGCAGGATGTTCAATGAGTGATGGACCATCATCCACGCAAGATGTTTCTATGTAATAAACCTTTTTTAAATGCCCATGCATGGGCATTGTTTTAACAGAAATCGCGATCCACGGCAGGCTTGTAGCTCAACAGCAGTGAGAATGTGTGTAGTCTGTGCGCTACCATCGTAAGGTCATATCCCATTGTGGAGGAAAATGCAGGAACCAGAATGAGGGGTTTAATGTATACAGAACTCGGAGTTGTGCCCTCGGGCGGGAGTGGCCACCGGTGAAGCCAGGGCTGGTGTCGACTGCATCCATTCATGCCTGAGAGTCCTTGGGACAGTGGTGGAAGCCTTTTTTAGGCTCGTAGGCCAAGCTCAAGTGGTGTACAGTCAGTGTACGTTGCATTTGCCATGGGGTAGTTCCCCAGTGGCCTAGGTTGTGGTTGCAGGGGGGTGGTGCGTTCAAGTGGCCTCATGGGCAGCTGCGGCTGTGCGGACGCAGGCATGTTCGAGCTGTCGGTCGTGTGGCTTCAGGTCAGCGCGTCTGAAACGGCTCACTGCAAAGGGTGAATGACCTTGAGACAGCGCGGTCTTGAACAATGACGCCTGACCGGTCATGGTGACGGCCCGATATAGGCTCCTGTAAGAAGAAAAACCAGCTAGATGAGCATGCCAATAAACCTTTCCATTTACATTTTAGTGATTTTTTTGTTTTAGAGAACGATATCCGCGACGCATCATTTAATTTGTTGTCAGAAATTCTAACTTAAATTTAAAAACTGTCCGGTAAATAAATATGTCGGAAATACTTGATAATTACATTCAAGGGTCTGCCTGATCAATATAAACGAAGACAGGAGTCCCAGGGAGCATTTGTGAAGAAAGATACACGATCGCTGAAGCAAGAGCTTTATTTGCCTGACGTTTCGGATTCCTGTTCGAATCCATCATCAGATACAAAAGCAAATATGGATGGTTCATGCAAAATGGGCTGCAGTATTTATGGGGTACAATCGCCCTGCTAACGCATACCTATGAATATTCACGGCCCTCCGCCTCCCACTCCATCAGGGATCGTTGCGCTTGGTGTGAGGACTGTTTGTTGGCCAACATTCGCGTCGCCAACTGCTACAATTTCATCACGAGTGTTGGATGTTGGTGTGATGATTGTTCGACCATCTGACCCACCGACCCTGGCGTTTGGAACAGTGTTCACCTGTGCGCTTCCCGCGTGGCTAATTACTCCACCTAGGGGAAGTCTCAGCACCGAATATGGAAGGGGAACTTCAAACAGTCATCACACCAAGTGTGCCTGAACCACTTGGGTCTACTTTCGTCTCTGATGGTGAATTCGAGCAGGAATCCGAAACATCGGGCGAATAAAGCTCTCGTCCTAGCGATCGTGTCTCCTTCTTCACATGTCTGCACGATATTGTTAAGTCCAGCTTTATTAAGGGAAACATAGGCGAGCGTCTTTGAACTCCCTATTGGTTAGAAATCGTTTGAGAAAAGCTCTGCTAAGTGGAAAGTTGAAAAAGAGATTTTGTACCCAATTGCGTGTGAAAGGCAGACAACTGCCAGCTAGTTGAAAAATAGTGAGCATTAACGGTTACTCACGTATTGCTAGTAGTATAACCACACATAATGTAAACTGTGTAATATGCGACTGTGTGGCTTGTGTTTGAGAAGCTCGATACGCGTTGAGTCTACACCTAAATCAGTCAACAGAGGAGGAGAGTACAACATCAGTAGGGAGAGCATTCCATGCTGTAACCACTCTGTTACTGAAAAGGAACTTTCGTTCATTAATCCTTGCTTTAGCTGCGCGTAGTTTTAGGGCATGACCTCGCAAAGTGGGTGTGTTAGCCTGAGTGAAGTAATCACTGGGATCTAAGCAACAGACATATATACACATAAAATACCTGCCCATGGTAACCTCTGGGCTAAGTTGGGACATCTGGTGTTCCGGGAATTGCGTAACCACAACAGACTGCGTGAACGGGAGCGAGGGGTCGTCCGTGACGGCGTAGCATGCCATTTTCGCACACTTACTCAACTTGTACATGGTGCCTGAATGAATTCGCCAGTAGTTTTGGTCCATATTTGCTTCGAATTAACATATAAATTGCATAAACGAATGATGCGTCAGCATACACAATACTCGATCAGTCAGGAGATGTGCCATTTGTATCAATAGGTCTAAATCCACTTTTAGGGAGTTAGCAAAACTTTTGCCCATAAAAATGAAAGACAGAATCAATTAGAAGCGTAAAAAAGACAATGAACTACGTACTGTAGTCTCACGTATATGGATATCGAAAATTAATTAAGCAACAATATCGACCTGGCGTGCACACAGTCAGCGTAAAAATGCCCTCAAGCATGGCTGTGTACACGACCCACTTAAAAAAGCCAATGATCAGCTCCTTGACGGGTGATTTTCCTTCGAATCTACTCGTCCGAAAATGTTTTGTATACAGCACACAGAATATATTTAACTATAGGAACATAAATTTCGCGATATATAATACGCACAGACTCCACTACAAACGGCAGTATTTCATCAAATTTACATGGAGTCTAGCCCCGCATAACCCTAACCTAGTCCCCGTAGTGACGGGGCCATGTGTTGACAGGGTCATCTGGATGTTTTTTTGGGGTGCTTCAGTGATGCAGCCCTCCAGACTGTTTCAGAGGGGTTACTCCACAGATATATTCTCCTTTGTGCAAGGGGTCCAAAGAGAAAATCCGTTTTGGACACTTTCATGCACTGGTTTATTGTGTGCCCACGAAGCTGAGGCGAAAAGCGTTATTGAAGCATGTCATCAAAAAGCGGTCTTTGCTCAAGGCCATTCAATACTTATAAATTAAGATAAGATCACCCCTCCACAGCCTGTAACGCTAAGATGGGAAAAAAGACACTGCAGTCTTTCCGGGTTTGATTGGCATTATACAGCTTTTACTATTGCTGTCATACGTCGCTGCACTTTCTCAGGATTTGCTGACACTTTGCGAGAAGTGGTCCCGAAGCCCGTACGTCATCCTCAAAGTGAGCACAAAGGGAGGTACCTTGTACTATGTTATTACCAACGAAGGCAAGGGAGACTGGAATGGCCGCTATGCGACCATAGGTCGGGTTCGAGAAAGAGCCCGTAAGGCACAACGGAACGAGTGAGTTCCGTAGGAGCGATCGGTGAGCGCCCCCTACCATTGTACTTTGTACTTTCCAAAGGCGTCTCTGTCAAGTGCTACAAGCCGTTTTGCACTTCCACGACGTTCTTCGTAGCCCTGACCCATTTGACCGTGGATATATAATTGCTCTGTACCTATTTGTCAAGACTTCTTGGTGGAGGACCACAACCTGCCACATGTCCTGTCGTTGTTAGAAGGCCTTCTGTTCCGAACAGAAGAAGCCGACATTATTTAAGAGACAAAACAACTGTTGTCGGCTTCCTGAAAAAGGGGCGACGGTTCCATTCATGCAAACGAAGTTGATCAGGATAAGCCTCCTCCCTCTCTTATGCAGAGCAACCAGCGTCGCATTCTAGGATATGGGGAAGCATGCTGCTAACTGTGTCCAGTAGCAGAAGGCCGGGACTAGACCGCCTCACACTCACCAGCTCAGACAAATTTTCGTACTTTTTCGGAAAGTCGATGAGGAGGCCAACAACCTTCACGGACTGAAGTAAACAACAACGATAATACGAGGTTAGAAGGACAAATATCTGAACGTCGGTAGCAGACACGACCCCGGTCGCATTCGAACAGCATCCGACTTTTTCGGCGAGAGCATAAATGTCTTTTGTAACGACTTCGTGACTGAAAATGCCTGCTCCGCTGAGTTGGTTCAGTAGTTTATTAAACGATGATCTGAGTTTCGCCATACGAAATAAGGTTTGCGAACGGTGGACCAAAGGTGCAACCTCGGTGATGCGTGGCACCAGCATAGGGCGGTGCACCAGGGCGTTGACGAGAACACTGGATTTATGCAGATTTGTGAGCGCTCGGCTGTTGTTGCTGCGATGATTTCAGTTCCTACATAGATTGTTCGTGTCCTTGGATTATTCTTTTTGAAGAATTCGAGAGGGTTAATCAGTTGGGACCTTCACTATATATGGTAGTTAAACCAGAATAGGGTTTGCCAGGGTATGGGAGACAAGCCCTTTAATTAAATGCGGGACAGTCACCTCATCCATGTCGGCAGTTGCCGGTGATCGAGAAGCGCGGCTGACCAGGCATAGGAGACCTTAAGTGAACCACCAGACCTTTTCCTGTGTTCGTTGGTGGTGGATTAGTCGAAGGAGAATGGTCTTGCTGATTAACAGTAGATGCTAGGTCAGGCGTTGGAGGTGATCACAGAGTATACCGAGTGGTGTAGTGTTGGACAAACCGGCGTTCAGAGGTATTCGGAGCTGCAGACGCGAGACACATTCGAGGGTGCTGCCGTCGTAGGGATTTCTTACACATAAGAGTTAAGTCGAATATCGAATCGACAAAACCTTTAGTTCCGTCGGCGTACCTTAAGGTGACAGGAAGTTTTTAGCGCTCTGGATGATGACCAACTTATTTCGGCATACTCGTAAAGTGTTTTGGACGATAAGGAGAGCGTGTGTGTTCGATTGTTCACGTAGAGAGTCTGAAAAGTCTGCTCAGTGGGTGTGGAGACGGTATCATTTTCGTTCTCACTGTCTGCATTGCAGTTTTCAATAAAGTCGCCTGTGTGCGGTCGATAAGTCATATATTTAGAACTGGATGTTTGTTCATTCACTCACATTGCCTGCA